AAGGTGGGTGGATCACGAGGTCAAGAGATCGAGACCATCCTGGTCAACATGGTGAAACCCCGTCTCTACTAAAAATACAAAAAAATTAGCTAGGCATGGTGGCGTGTGCCTGTAATCCCAGCTACTCAGCAGGTTGAGGCAGGAGAATTGCCTGAACCCAGGAGGCGGAGGTTGTGGTGAGCCGAGATTGTGCCATTGCACTCCAGCCTGGGTAACAAGAGTGAAACTCCGTCTCAAAAAAAAAAAAAAAAAATTGATCTAGTAGACCTTAATTAATTAATTAATTAACTTTTGAGGCAAGGTCTTGTTACCCACACTGGAGTCCTGGTGTTGCAATCACGGCTCACTGCAGCCTCCTGGGCTCAATCAATCCTCCTGCCTCAGCCTCCCAAGCTGGGACTACAGGTATATGCCAGCATGCTTGGCTAAATTTTGTATTTTTGGCAGAGACAGGGTTTTGCCATGTTGTCCAGGCTGATCTTGAACTCCTGGGCTCAAGTGATCCCCCTGCCTCTGCCTTCTAAAGTGCTGGGATTACAGGCGTGCACCACCAAATCTGGCCCATCTGATAAGCCTGTAATGATTTCAAAAGATATACCTCTAGCAATTTCTAAGAAGCAAGGTTTAAGTTATTGAATTATTTCACCATTTATGCCTGGTTACTTAACTGTAAAACATATTAAAATTTATATTCAGGCTGGGCATGGTGGCTCATGCCTGTAATCCCAGCATTTTGGGAGGTCTAGGTGGGTGGATCACTTGAGGTTAGAAGTTCGAGACTAGCCTGGCTAACATGATGAAACCATATCTCTACTAAAAATACAAAAAAATTAGCTGGTGTGGTGGTGGGCACCTGTTATTTAAGCTGCTTAGGAGGCTGAAGCAGGAGAATTGCTTGAAACCAGGAGGTGGAGGTTGCAGTGAGCTGAGATCGCGCCATTGCACTCCAGCCTGGGCAACAAGAGCAAAACTCTGTCTCAAAAAAAAAAAAAAAAAAAAAAAAAAACTACATTCAAAACAAAAAATTGAGGCTGGGTGCAGTGTCTCACACCTGTAATCCCAGCACTTTGGGAGGCTGGAGGATCACTTGAGGCCACAAGTTCAAAAGACCTGCCTGGGTAACATAAGAGAACCTATATCCATAAAAATTTAAAACAAAAATAAAAAAATTAAAAGTTGAGAACGATTTTTAACCCTTTGTGGTTTACAAAGGTAAAATTAATAACTTCATGCTATTTCCTATAAAACCATCATTTATATCTTCTGCCTTGCAAGGCTGTTCTCAGCTCCTTTCAGCAGTTTATTAACTCCATCTCCTCCTTTGAGAAACATTCAAAATAATCCCTGATAAACTGGAAGAATAAAAATGACTTCTGCTTGGTTTTTCTTTATCTAAATATTTGACTCAGATACGTCTTGTTTCCCCTGACATTTCATTATGCTTATTGAGCTTTTCCAAGAAAGCAAAACATCATTTGAACTTTCAAAAAATAAGTGAGCATCATGTCTTTTCAAAAATTACATCCTTCCTTTGATGAGGCACCTGGCTGCATCTGATTTAAATCTTTCCTCAACCACCTCCCCGCGCCGACCCCCGAAACACCCTGCACCTATGCCTCGAATTTCTCTACTCCTCCAACATTTAACCTACTGGATCAGGCCTGCTCCTCACCTGCCCATGTCGTGGTGAGCCTCCTGTACTCTGACTTGGTCCAGATGGGAGCTCACATGTGACAGAGAGGCTGGGGAGCAGCCTCGGACCCTAACATCCCCACGCGTTCTACTTAGATACTTTTCTTTTTTTGAGATAGAGTTTGGCTCTTGTTGCTCAGGCTGGAGTGCAGGGGAGTGATCTGGGCTAACCGCAATCTCTGCAATTAGATCTCAACACACACTTATTTGGTGATTTTTATTTATTACTTTTATAATTACTGAGTATTGCTATTGTTTGGGTCTGTGTCCCCACCCAAATCTCATGTTGAATTGTAGTCTCCAGTGTTGGAGGAGGGGCCTGGTGGGAGGTGGTTGGATCATCGGAGCAGATTTCCCCCTTGCTGTTCTCTTGATAGTGAGTGAGTTCTCACAAAAGCCAGTTGTTTAAAAATGTGTGGCATTTGTCCCTGCTTTCTTTCTCCTGCTCCGGCCATGTAAGACATGACTGTTTCCCCTTTGCCTTCCACCATGATTATTAGTTTCCTGAGGCCTCTCCAGCCATGCTTCCTATACAGCCTGTGGAACTGTGAGCCAATTAAAACTCTTTTCTTTAGAAATTACCCAGTTTCAGTGGGTTTTTTTTTTTTTTTTTTTAGACAGAGTCTTGCTCTGTTACCCAGGCTGGAGTGCAGTGATGCAATCTTGGCTCACTACAACCTCCACCTCCCAGGTTCAAGTGATTCTCCTGCCTCAGCCTCCCTAGTAGCTGGGTACACACCACCACATCTGGCTAATTTTTGTTTTTTGTTTTTTTTTTTTTTTTTTTTTTGAGACGGAGTTTCGCTCTTGTTACCCAGGCTGGAGTGCAATGGCGCGATCTCGGCTCACCGCAACCTCCACCTCCTGGGCTCAGGCAATTCTCCTGTCTCGGCCTCCTGAGTAGCTGGGATTACAGGCACGCGCCACCATGCGCAGCTAATTTTTTGTATTTTTAGTAGAGACGGGGTTTCACTATGTTGACCAGGATGGTCTCGATCTCTTGACCTCGTGATCCACCCGCCTCGGCCTCCCAAAGTGCTGGGATTACAGGCTTGAGCCACCGCGCCCGGCCTAATTTTTGTATTTTTAGTGGAGACAGCGTTTCACCGTGTTGGCCTGACTGGTCTCGAACTCCTGACCTCAGGTGATCCACCTGCCTCGGCCTCCCAAAGTGCTAGGATTACAGGCCTGAGCCACCACATCTGGCCTCGGGTATTTCTTTATAGCAGTGGGAGAACGGATTAATACAACTACTTATTCAATAATTTTCCTGAATTAGTTCTAAGACATAAAACAGATTTGCATTTAACGTTTATTGAAAGCAGAGGCAATTCACACTACGGAACCAATGCAACAAGACATTTTTACTTTTTTTTGTCTCTCCAGGTCTTTTGTCCTTTTTAAAATTGGGATATTTGCCTTTACTTATTAGCTTGTATTTGTCCCTCTGCCATCTTTAAGGCATAATCAACAAATAAACACAATGTTGTTTTTAAATGTCTAATGTCTATAAAGCCCAATCCTGAGAACTCTACCATTGGGGTGCTCTGGTTAATTGGATTTCTGTTAATCACCAGTTTTTTGTTAAATGGGACTTGTTCAAAACTTAATCAAACTCAAATTTACTTTCTTACCTCAGGAAAAAAAAAATCTCCTGGGCACACCTGTATCCTGCTTTGGTGACAAAGAACTCTGAGCATCCCAGGTTAGGATTTGGAGCATCAGAGAGCACGCTGAGGATGGAGAAGGAGCAGGAAAGTGAGCCGCAGGTGAACCAGCCCAGGCCTCAACTCTCAGAGGGCTTCTTCTTAACTTGTTCCAGGTATGGTTAATGCTGTCTTGGAAATGAGTATTACTGTTAGCCAGATTCCAGTTAACCAACATTCTTTTTTTTTGAGACACAGTCTTGCTCTGCCACCCAGGCTGGAGTGCAATGGCATGGTCTTGGCTCACTGCAACCTCTGCCTCCTGGGTTTAAGCGATTCTCTTGCCTCAGCCTCTCAAGTTGCTGGGATTACAGGCGCCCGCCACTATGCCTGGCTAATTTTTATATTTTGAGTAGAGACAGGGTTTCACCATGCTGGCCAGGCTGGTCTCGAACTCCTGACCTTGTGATCCGCCCACCTCAACCTCCCAAAGTGCTGGGATTACAAGTGTGAGCCATCGCACCTGGCTAACCAACATCTTTTTTTTTTTTTTTAACCAATACTTTTGCAGCTCTTGAATTCCTTACTCAAGGGACAAAACTTTTAAATCGACTTCATCCAGGTTTTTTTTTTTTTTTTTTTTTTTTTTTTTTTACCACTGGGATAGATTAGATTTTATTATGCACACATACATCCTTTTAAAAAAAGTCACCCAGCTTTATATTTGTATCCAAATATTTTTTACAGCTGTAGAATTCTCACCTTGGCTGTGCTTTTGAGAAGTGCTAATTCTACCATACAGTGCTGGCTGGGTAGCCACTTAAAATGAGGGCTACTATTTGTTCGATTCAATCTCTAAGCCCACAGGTCTCCTTCAGGCCTTGAAATAGCCAAGAGACCAAGCTCCCAAGATATGTGGGAGAAACTAAAGTGTGCAAGGATGAGAGAAGATGTTAAGAGGAATACAGATTGTCTTGTTCATTTATACTGCCATTGGTAAAAGGACATGCTTTGGGGACATTTGAAAAGTTGCCATCAAAATGTATGATTGAAATTTTGAGCAACCAAAATAAGATTGAATGTAGTAACATTCAAATGTGCAGGGCAGTATCTGCCACGCTTTGCTGCATATTAGAATCACCTGGGGAGCTAATATGAGGTCCAAATGGTCACGCTGTTCCCACACTGGGGAGTGCGGATCGGGATGTCTAGGGGTGGGAGTCAGGCATTCATTTTTTAAAAGATCCCTGGATGATTCCAAAGTTCAGCAGGTTTGGGAACCGACAGCATTTGGTAGTGCAAGTTTAAGCAGTTTGTAGCGTATTACTTAAAGGACTCAACTAAATTTACAGAATACTCGAATTCACGGACCTCATGGATGTTTACATTTAAAATGCTTCAACATTATGATAGTAAGTTATTTCCAAAAAATTGTAAAAGAATCTGTCCGTGAAATTGAAAATTATTCTGTGATCTAAAACATTGCCAAAATATTGTAATCCACTCCGTTGTAGGGAGAGAATGTCAGGGACATTTATTTCCAGCTTCAAAATCCTTTTTATAAGGATAGAAGCAGAAGAAAGATGAAGGGAAAAAAATATAAACAAAGAAAGACTAAAATGATTATTTACTAAGAATTGCAAATGCTCATTTTCTGGGCACACCACAAAGTTCCATTCTCTGTTCCCAGGACTTTGCGTAATACACAGGGACGCGTTGGTAAAAGGCTGATGCTTTTAGTTTATCAAAATAAACCTGAGTGTTTCTTTTCCCAGCCCTCAGTCAAAACTGAGACTTTACTCATCTTTATGAAAAAAAGAAAGAAAGAAAAAGAAATGTGTCTAGTAGTGAGCTTGCCTGTCCTTTGGATTGTTCTGTGGTTGCAATGTTCCTCCTAACTGATTAGCCTTCATTCCACAGATTACCATGTGTTGGGAACATTCGAGGATTATATCAGCCGAGACTCTTGCTGCCTGTCTGGTAAAAAGAGCAATTTACAATAACAAACACACGCCAGATTTGGATGAATTGCCCTCCCCACAACCCGTAGGTCTGTTGGGGTCATTCAGTTCCTCAAACAGTCCCGTTTCTATAATTTCTTCCTGCCACGCTATAGGAACAGCACCTGTTGCAAAGCTTTTGAAAAACTGCTTATCTTTGTCATCAAATTCCACCCCCCGAACCTCAGAGAAATCATCAATTTCACCGATGTCTTTGGCATAAACCACCGAAGGGTCTGGCACAAATGGAGGTTTGACTAGGCCGGCTTCCAGGCGAGGAAAGTTGATCGTTTTAAAGAAATTATGTTTCCTGGGATCATCAGACTTTTCTCTGTGAAGAAAGGAGATGATTAGCCTGAGACAAAGTTAACAAACCAAAATGGGACATGTTCTAACAATAAAAAGCGTGTAGCATTCTTTTCTTACAATACATTTCATTTTAATTGCAAAGACAATATAATGACATAAAGAATAACTGGAAAATAATAACTTTTGAAATCATCCCAAATTCTGTACCAAATAGACAGTAGGATTTTCATTATTTGCAGACAGCTTTCACCTGTAGATGCAACTTTTAAATAGTGAAGCTTTGGACATGACAATTATTCTTGGTGTTTCATGGAAATACGGGGAAAGTTCTGGAGAACCACACCTGCTTGCCTGCAGCTTCCAGTCATTGCCTCTTCAGGGTCACATAGAATGAGTTAAGCACATCTCTGTCCCACACTGTCACCCCTCTCATTTTAAAAGACAGCACTCATATCCCCTTATTAGTAATATGACAGATTTCTAGAAGCCCCACTTACCTCCCCAACTGCCACAATAATCTTGGTGTTATTTCTTTAAAGAAATTTCTTTAAAAAAATCCATTAGTAATTTGCAGTAGTATGACTTAGCATACATTTAGTACTCAAGACTATGATTATTATTATCAAATCCTCCATCTCTATGCTAGAAATTATTCCAGTATATGCCTTAGAATAAGAGAAAAAAGTATGTTCCCAACTGTGTAACCTCTACTATTAATATTAGTTATCTATTGCTGTATAACAAATTGCCCCAAAATTTAGTGCCTTAAAACAACAAACTTTCATTATCTCACAGCTTCTGAGGGTCAAGAATCTGGGCACGGCTTAATTGGGTGTCTCTGTCTCAGAGTCTCTTGCGAGGTTTCAGTAAAGCCGCTGGCTGAGACTGTGGTCTTATCTGAAGGTTCAGCTGAGGCTGGGGGATTTGCTTTCAAGCTCACTATGTGGTTATTGTCAAGCCTCCACCGCTTATCACATGAGCCTCCACAGGGCTGCCTTAAAACATTGCAGCTGGCTTTCCCAAGGCCAGTGATCTCTCTCTCTCTCTCTCTTTTTCTCTCTCTCTCTCTCTCTCTCACACACACACACACACACACACACACACAGAGGGAGAGAGAGAGAGAGAGAGCGAGCACACACAAAATAGAAGCCATAAATTTTTTATAACCTAATCTTGGAAGTGACATCTCATCCCTTCTGCCATATTCTATTTCTCATTGAAGGAAGCCCACACTCAAGGCAAAGGGATTATACACTGGTATGAATGCCAGGAAGGGGGATAATTGGGAGCCATCTTAGGGGCTGCCTACCTTACTCCTCTTGGTTCCTCTTAAAATCTAGGTTTTAACAAAATAAAAGGGGGGCTGTTTTGTGGCATCACATTCAAAATGATTTTTTTCTTTTAAAAAAATATGAATAGATTTCCTGGTCTGATTAAGAAACTTCTTTCACATACAAGAGGCCAACAAACACATGAAAAAGTGCTCCTTATCACTAATCATCAGATAAAAGTGTATTAAAACCACAATGAGATACCGTCTCACACTAGTCAGAATGGCTATAATTAAGAAGTAAAAAAACAACAACAGATGTTGGAGGGGCTGCAGAGAAAAGGGAATGCTTACACACTGTTGATGGGAAGGTAAATTAGTTCAGCCACTCTGGAAAGCAGTTTAGAGATTTCTCAAAGAACTAAAAATAGAACTACCATGTGACCCAGGAATCCTATTACTGGTATATACCCAAAGGAAAATAAATTGTTTTAGCAAAAAGACATACACTCATATGTTCATCACAGCACCATTCACAATAGCAAAGACATGGAATCAACTAAGGAGTCCATAAATGGTGGATTGAATAAAGAAAATGTGGTACATACACAAGATGAAATACTATGCAGCCACAAAAAAGCATGAAATCATGTTCGTTGTAGCAACATAGAAGCAGCTGGAGGCCATTACCCAAAGTGAACTAGCATAGAAACAGAAAACCAAATGCTGCATGTTCTCACTTATAAGTGGGAGCTAAACACTGGGTACACATGGACATAAAGATGGGAACAGCAGACACGGGGACTACGAGATGTTGTGGGGGTGGGGAAAGGGTTGAGAAACTACCTATTGAGTACTATGCTCACTACTCCAGTGATAGATTCAATTGCACCCAAAACCTCAGCATTACACGATATGTCTTTGTAGCAAACCTGCACTTATACTCCCTGAATCTAAAAGTTTTTTTTTTTTTTTTTTTTTTTTTTTGTGAGACGGAATTTCGCTCTTGTTACCCAGGCTGGAGTGCAATGGCGCGATCTCGGCTCACCGCAACCTCCGCCTCCTGGGTTCAGGCAATTCTCCTGCCTCAGCCTCCTGAGTAGCTGGGATTACAGGCACGCGCCACCATGCCCAGCTAATTTTTTGTATTTTTAGTAGAGACGGGGTTTCACCATGTTGACCAGGATGGTCTCGATCTCTTGACCTTGTGATCCACCCGCCTCGGCCTCCCAAAGTGCTGGGATTACAGGCTTGAGCCACCGCGCCCGGCCTTTTTTTTTTTTTTTTTTTTTTTTTTTTAAAGAAATGTCTTCCTTTTAGAAGAAGTCAATTTCCACTATAAGTCAACCACAATAGAAATTAATCATATTCATGGTCTCTCTTTTACATTTTCCACTCAAGATATCAAAAAACTTTTTGGAAAAGGATTGAGAGCTTGCCCCATATAGTCCTTTCAGAAATTCCCCACCACGTCAGATGATAACTACAACAGATTATCCCAGTAAGATGACTAAAGGCACTACCCCAAAATGGCACAACTAATGACAGGAATGAGGATAACTGACATGTATTCAGCGCCTACTCTCAGTTAACACAGCATTAAGCTCTTCACTTACATTATTACATTCACCCAGTACCACAGCCCTGTCTCTAAGGCCTGTATCTTTAACTCTTTTATGTGCTTCTGCATTCATGAGTAGCTGTGCATCTGAGAAAGCCAGGGTACACAGGTGACTTTTTCACAGGAAAACTTATCATCAAATTTTATTACGAAAAGAGAAACTTAATTGGAGGCATCTGATGTCCAGTGATTCCTTGGGTTCTTGTTCTGTGACCCAGGCCTACCCTCTTCTAGAAAGTTCCATCTGGAACTTCTTGGACTTTTCCCACTATGTATGGAGAGCTGCATCAAAAGGTGCTACAAGAGGTCTCTCTTTTCTCTCAGAAGCCAAGTCTCCACCAACTGAAAGAAAGGAAATACAGGCTTGTCACCTACCAGAACCGACTGCCTCAGTGTCTGTGTGGTTTACATCTTGTAGGTTAAGAGCCTTGAGGAAGAGTTACTGAGAATAAATAGAAGCTTAAAAACAGATTTTTAGGTCGGGCACAGTGGTTCATGCTTGCAATCCCAGCACTTTGCGGGGCCAAGGAGGCCTGAGGCCAGGAGTTTGAGACCAGCCTGGACAAAGTGGTGAAACCCTGTCTCTACTAAAAAACACAAAAATTAGTCAGGTGTGGTGGCAAATGCCCGTAATCCCAGCTACTTGGGGGGCTGAGTGAGGAGAATTGCTTGAACCTGGGAGGCAAAGGTTGCAGTGAGTCGAGATTGGGCCATTGCACTCCAGCGTGGACGACAGAGCAAGACTGTCTCAGACAAAAAAGAAAGATTTTTAAAAAGCCAGGTTTATTAAGGTATAATTTACACAGAAACATTCACTTTTCAAAGGTATCAGATGGATTTTTAAATGTGGTAGAAGAAGGATGGAGCTAGAATGCCATGCAAATAGATCGGGAATGAACCCCGGACCTGCATGTCTCAAACAGAATGAAGACATTGGAATGGGACCAGGTGCCACAGGGAAGAGTCTGCCTCACTTCCACAACCACTGGCGGGCATGAATTGAACACACTGAGCCAGGGGTCAAAAGGACCCTTACAACTCAGTCTCATCAGCTTTCATATGAGTAAATGGAGACTGCCCAGGAACTTAGTAACTGCGGGAGGCTTGCCAGACCAGTCCTTACATCAGGATGAACAGTTCTCACATGGCATCTCAGGCACTCCAGGCCCGGGGAGCCTCAGTCTGTCCATGAGGGGTGGCTGACTGCAGCCCTTTTGCAACTCATTATAAGAGACAAGGGAACCATGGTTCACTCTGAGCTTTCCTTTATGTTCTTCAACAACCGAGTTAGATGCTCCCAGAGGGGAGTACCCATGCCTCATATATCTTTTCCCAAGAAATGTCTATGGGTGCCACGCGTGGTGGCTCAAGCCTGTAATCCCAGCTCTTTGGGAGGCCGAGGCGGGTGGATCACAAGGTCGAGAGATCGAGACCAACCTGGTCAACATGGTGAAACCCCGTCTCTACTAAAAATACAAAAAATTAGCTGGGCATGGTGGCACATGCCTGTAATCCCAGCTACTCAGGAGGCTGAGGCAGGAGAATTGCCTGAACCCAGGAGGCGGAGGTTGCGGTGAGCCGAGATTGCGCCATTGCACTCCAGCCTGGGTAACAAGAGGGAAACTCCGTCTCAAAAAGGAAAAAAAAAAAAAAAAAAAAAAAAAAAAAAAGAAATGTCTATGGTTGCTGCTGCTATGAGGGAAGACTGGGCTTTCCAATCTCTATTCCCTGTTCTTGAGGCTGGGCTACCGCAAAGATAATCACTTTGATCTTCACTAGCAACTCCCACCACAGGTCTGTCATTAAAATAGCAGGCAGATTATTTTACTCATTTTTTTTTTTTTTTTTTTTTTTGTGAGACAGAGTCTCACTCTGTGACCCGGGCTGGAGTGCAGTGGCCAAATCTTGGCTCTTGCAACTTCTGCCTCCCAGGTTCAAGTGATTCTCCTGCTTCAGCCTCCTGAGTAGCTGGAATTACAGATGTGCGCCACCAACCCCAGCTAATTTTTGTATTTTTAGTAGAGATGGGGTTTCACCATGTTGGTTAGGCTGGTTTCAAACTCCTGACCTCGTGATCCACCTGCCTCAGCCTCCCAAAGTGCTGGGATGACAGGTGTGAGCTACCGTGCCT